TTGTCTTTGACTGTTATACATACATGATTACTGTAGCTCTCTGTCAATTGGCTCCCTCAGTCACAATTGTTTTCCATCTAGGAAACACTATCCGTCCGTGCTGCATTTTCGCTTACTTTACTTTGAAGAGTGAGGAACTAGGCAAATCAGAGTTCAAAGACGAGTGTGTTCATCCATTTTCCTCCACAACAAATTCCCTTCCCCTCTCATCTGCCTATCCTCTCATTCAATCACTGTGTGCATATAAGAGGTTTATTGAATGAATTTTTAATTATTACTCCTATGGATGCTTTGAAAAAACATACAAATTCAAATGAAATACCTTTCCGGGGATTCAAAACGATTACTGTAACACTCTCAATCAACTATCGATGAAAAAGAAGCTGCAAACTGGACCAAGTAGGAACCGCGCTAGGGGTTTTTCATGTATATACACAACTATGAATCAACCGGCTAGTCACCAGCAGGAACGCCCAATATGAAGGAAAAATCGAAAGATCGCCCTGAGACCAACCTCTGAACGCCCCTGATTCCAGAGAAACCACGGTCGCAAGACAAGATGAGAACGTCCTAAGTTCAAACTCTGAACGCCCCTAATTCCATAGAAACCACGGTCAGAAGACAAAATGGGAGCTATAACCCTTTACTGGGCCGAAGGTACAGAAAAATCGCCCATGGGTTCACTGGGAACCACTTCAAAACCTGAAACATTCCAGTAACAGAGTGGGTTCTTTCTCAAGTGGGCACTACCGCGTTGTCTTCCTGCAGGGGAAAGAAAAGGGGTTTATTTTGTTATTGTACTGAAGTGGTGGCTACAAATAAACGGATTAACGGAAGTGCTTCCCAAGACCTATGGGGCTACGACGTATTAACGCCCCACTCACCAAAAACCACTACCATCATGGTTGCTATAGTAATATACTCGTTTCCAATCAATTAGTAGCAATATTTTGCCGACCGAGGAGAGGAACGGGATAACTCCGTGTGAATACTAAGTATCTGTGTGTATGTGCATGTGAGTATGTACGTGTGTGTGTCACTTCAAAACGTTTCACCATCGACGAACTGACAAACACATAGCAGTTGCAGCAGCCACCCAGTCAGTCAGCCCCAGCCAGCCAGCCAGCCAGTCGTCAGCCAGGCCAGTCACCCGGGGCGGCCGTCGTCGAGCGGGGCGAGCGCTTTTCGGCACAAAGCATTCGATGGTTCGATCATAAGTCAAAGAACAAAACGAAACCACCACACCAGAGCAAACTAAATAGGAAACACCCCCTCCCTTTATCTAAGTGAAATTATACTAAAATACACGTATTGATAGGGAATACACAGTCATCACATATGACCCTGTCAGTACCGTCGGGGTATGTTTCAACATTACCCATGATTGACTATCAGAACAATGGGCTGTCACGTTGCTATTCATTCTATGGCAACGCTCTCTTTCTCTGGCCGACGCGACGACGACGGCAAAAATCGAACACGGACCGCTGCAAGTCGTAAACAACGCAAAAAACATTCACGTCCCCTTCTGATTGTTGTGTTTAGCGCATTTAGCGCACACAGGCAAAGAAGGTGAACAACGTCCCCAAGACCATTTACAGTACCTACGCAACACCCACTCATACAATTTTAGACCCAAATGGGTTATGAACACGAGCTTAATCGGATCTGAACGTAAATGAATCGAGCAAAATGCACTGCTTCACCGGAGTTGGTCGATGGCCGCGCGTGGGCTGGTCGGTGATCGGCCCAAACGTCAAAGCGACAAATGTCGCCCGCTGTCGCCTAGGCAGTTGATTTGCTGATGACGTACCGCCGCATTCTATGCACACGACGATACAACACCGACGACGACGACGACGGCATCGGCGCCCATGACGCGACGACGATGAACCAGACGATGACGTCAACGAGCCAGATCAGATGCGACCAGCGAACGGCATCTATATATGCATGTGTGACGCTTTTTCTTATGGTGTTTGTGGGTATGTGGCGGCCCGCTCGGGAATCGATCGCGCCAGCGTCAGCCGTTTTTGCCAATCAATGCCCATCACCACACGCACAACCAACACGACAATGCCGCCGAGTTTCCACAGCCACATTGAACCCCCCTCCCCTCGCGGGGCAGCGCCCGACGATCGGGGAAGAGGCAGCACAACAACGAGACATAATGCAGCGCCCGCCGCGCCCTGTTGGCCTCTGGGCAGTTCCTGTTCGCCTGATTGACTATCGTTCACGGGCAACACAATGATGTAACAATACAGAAGGCCTTAGATGGTAACTATACAATATCTGGCCAAATATTTCACGATCTACAACAAGTTCGTACTGATCGGAGCTCGATCAAATTCCACTTACCTGCTGGTCGTGATGATCTGTGGTCGGCTAACTTTGTGGCTTCATTGTAGAGAATAAACGACCGAATAACAGCTGTAGCAGTACACCAGTAAATCGATTAGTTCAGAATTGTTCAGTAGATCAGTTCGAATAGATTAAATTGCATGTGATGATATTTCGTAGAGTCGTTGTGACGATGAATTTCGGGTGATGACAAGGGTCTCGGGCACAGAGGAGAACGCGTCATGCGCCAGGACGGCAGTGTTGATAGCCGTTGTCACCGGCTGCAACCAGCTAACCACACTGCCACCCGGCACAGTGCGTCTCGCTTCCGTTCGTTCGGTTCTAAGAAAAAGTGTTTCAAGAAAAGATGTGTGCATACGGTGAGAACACGGTAGGAACAATATGATGAGAGAAAATTTGAAGAAAAAGAATAAATGAAGTTATTAATGAATGACACAAGACGGACGTAGGTATGAAGTAGGTGTGGGAAGCATAAGTGCCCACACACTATCCTGGCCGGCCACAGGGGCATCGTCATTGCTCGTATCGGCCACTCTAACGACCTCGAATCGAAATCGACACACTCACTCGCACATACCCACGCGTACATACATACATATACATATACCTATATTAACTAATACATATGAGCTGACCACAATACAGCCAAAACAGCAGCTCACGACGAGGTATGCTAGCTGACTGACACACGGACGGACGAAATGGGAAGAGTTTAGAGGGTGTGCGAGGAGGGCGGCCGGGGCAGGCAGAGCGGCACAAGGAACACGCGAGATGGCGGGCGAACACTGCCGGATCAGCTGATCGCGGCCGCGGCCGCGGCGGCGTCGGCACACGGGGGAAGGGGGCGGGCGGCCGCGGACGCCGCCGACGTCGACGCCGACGCCGCAGCCGCCGCTGGCTGCCACTGGAGAGACTCACGAGGTACTGCCACAACGGCCGAGACGCAGACATGGTCTGCATACCAGGTAGGTGCATTTTCAACCAAATCGCGTGGAAATGCTGCCACTGGTATGCAGACCGGCAGAACTGCCACATCGGTACCGCGAGACAATACCAGTACAAGGGACAATACCAGTAGTGGGGGGCGGCGTTGCAATGGGGACGGGGGACGGAGCCGAGCCGAGCTGTGGTGGTGCACCAATTGCTACTGTTTCGATGGTGGTGGGTGCTAAAATTGCTCCAACACTTCTTCCATCCTCATGACGCCATTCTTCAACACACCAACGGACACACACACAGACACGCACACACCGCCGTACACGTGAATTTGTGCTGATGCTGTTCTGTGCCCATGTGTGTGTATGTGTGTATGTACGTATGTATGGGTGTGTATGTGCCTGAGGAAACGATATATCTTTTTGCTGCAGCAGAAAATCGATGTGGGATGTTCAAAAGATGATGTGGCTGCTCCTACTGTGGTATCTACTAGTTACTACTGCCGCCCTTACTTTTGTTTAGTATGACATTTATACGACACCATCATTACCTTTACTACCCGTTACCTCTTGGACGGCGGTGGGTTGTTTCTCCCGGGTTGATCGAACATCACGAAACAGTGTCACGGCGGTCAGACAGGTAAGTAAACAAGTAACTGCTGAAACGAAATGTGGAGAGTAAGAAGAGGAAACAAAAGATTCGGGTAGTTTTTTTTCTGATATTATCCCGTCATCATCATCCCGGATCTTTTGCGCTAGACGATGGGAAGGGAACGCCGGGGCGGCTGAGTCAAACCGCGTTTTTGCTACACCTCCGAAGAGCAACAAATTTGTGCATAATTGCAATCAGCTGGACGTCTGTGTGTGTGTGATTTTCCACGAACGTTAACAACATACTGGCTAATGCCGATAGTAGTTAGAAGGAGGTGATTTTCTGAGTACGGGCGTCTGAAGCAGTGCTACACGATCGATGGTGACGGTCTAACAACGACAACGGCAACGACGACGTGAGGGGCACGACAGCGGTGGGGGGTACTGTTAGTCATGCAACCACCAAAATGACTCGGACGGACAGTTCTACCAAATCGACTTTACATACTATTATTAAGAGGTTTAAAGGAGGATATATGGATGGAAAAAAACTTTTTATACGAATCGAAATAGGCTGCAATGAGTCACATGGTCTGGAAATTTATGACAGCGAGCGAACGGATGAAGAAAACAGCAAGAAACGTCTTGAAGGAAAAAAGTAGGGCTGGCGTCTGATCTCTGACATCCCTGGGATCTTTGCAAACCATGTGGTTCATTAATATAAATGTTACAAAGAGCTAGAGCGACCTGGGAAATTTCCACGGGATGGGCCCTCTTATATGGGTGGACCGGATCCTTCTCGACGCTGACGTTTTTTTTTCCGGCGTGTTACTGTAATGAGCTCATGAAATTTTCATGAGGATTTGAAAGCATGTCAGACATTATAAGAAGATATTTCAAAATACATTGACAGTATCATACGGGGGTAAAGGTTTGACGACAACGGGCCGTGATCAGTAGATGTCCGTGATTTAGGCGACCGGGGTGGGGGAAAATCCGGACTTAATGCCCGACTAATCATAGATTCATCTAGAAA